AAAAATTAAACGTTAACTAACGAACTACTACGTACGTACGTACTACGTACGTACGTACGTAGGTAGTAGGTCGTACGTTAGTCTCGTTGTCTCTCTCTCTCTCTCTCTCTCTCTCTCTCTCTCTCTCTCTCTCTCTCTTTCGTTGTGTGTGTGTGTGTGTGTGTGTTTAGTCCAATAAACCTCTGGCCATTACTGTAGCAATTGTGATGGACCCACAAAGGCTCCAAATAGTGTTCAAATCAGTCTCATTCAACTAAAAACAGAATTGGAGATATCTAAAATGAACTAGGACTTGGAACTTTGAAAGAGCTCCATATCCCAGAACCATTCATCAAATGGATGATCCAAATTGGATCTTGGGTTTGAGTTTGATTTGGAGCATATTGAGGTTTAAATCAAAAGTTTTTGGTTATTCTGAAGGAGACTGATTTTGGGTCCTTGTAGGTCACCCAACCAATCTGGTGGATTTGAGGGAGGTACTATCACTATAGTATTGGCCCTCGTCATCATTAAATATTCTTCATTATGTTCTCATATTCCTGTGTTCTGAAATTTATTCTCTCAAATTTGCGGTTTCAGGTTGCTGATACGTGGGAATCCATGGATGGGTGGCTAGATGCAATTCGTCTGGTGTACACCATCTGTGCACGTGGTAAAAGCGATGTTCTAGCGGGTGTTATAACAGGCTGATTCATTGATAATATTGTAGTTTATCCAAGGATGTTGTCTGATTCACTAATCGCTCAAATTTTCCTTTCAAAATATATCTTGGCAATTTTCGGTTGAGTTATTTTTTCTGTTTTAGATATCAGTTAAGACTTAAGACTAATGTATTAGCATTGTGAAAGTGTCGTCACTCAGATGTTTGTCAAAAACCCAATTTCCGTGCCAAATTTTTATTTTTATCTCTAACTTAAGGTTAAAGGTCCAACTCTGCACATCCCATCATGCTTTCGGAATGCAAGGCCTAATAGTAATTGATCCTTGCATATCTGCTAGATGAAGGCTGAATTATTTTGTTGGCCCGATACCAATGCCTATGATTTTCTATATATGCTTTCTCACTGACCAGAAGTGTCTATAAACTGAATCAGCCATGCTAACAGGCATTGACTGTATTATCTGCCTCAATGGACCTGCTGGTAGGTGTTGAAAGCCTACAAAAATATTTCATATAAATATGCAGCCTGGATGATTGTGTTTTTACAGATTTGAGAGATTCCTCATAAGACTAATATGAGGGATCTGTACAAAGAATAAATTTAGCCATGAGTATTGAAATATCTTGACAATGTGATGATGTATGCTGAAAATGTCAACAATATTCACATTTGTTGTACAGACTAGTGAACAAGAAGACGGGATACAAAGTAACTTAGATGTTTATGCTTGAAAGCAAACTGTTTGTGATCCAGGAGAAAGTTGGCTGCTTTTATTTTTCAGTGAAAGGTAACAAATTTGGCGTCTTATACTTTCATCTTTAACAGCATAATATCCTTGCCATGTATTTATGCCTGTTGATGTGTGAGAAAGATACAGAGAGAGAGAGAGACAGAGAGAGAGTGAATCGTATTTTGAAACCCATTTTCCTGTCTAGCCCCTTATTACATGAACCCGTCTAATAAATTGACCATTTCTATTCCATTTTGCTATTTCATGTTGTCATTTCATTTCTTATCAAGAAAAAAAATATATCATGTCTTTGGGGCATATTTCACCATGCCCCTAGGGAGCATCCTCCGGACGATTAGCATTGGGCAGTAGAGATTGAATGGTGTATTATTCAATCAGACTGTTCCAACTCAACTCTCACAAGAATGCCCCTACTTTTAGAGGATCAGGTCACTTGCAAACCTTTCTTTTTCTCAAATTTGCCCACCTCATCCTGTCCTAACATAATAATATGTACAATGATTTAACAGAGAAACCCATCAATTTCAAATTCCCATGCAACCTTATTTCAACATCTTGGGAAATATAAATCTCCTTTAAGTGCACTTAATAACAAAGTGAATTGATAAATAATTACATCGAGCACTCTATTGTGATTGCACTTTATGCTCCAACTAGTTTTATGCCTGTCCCCGAAACCAAATCCTCCACTTTATCCATCTTATTCTTTGAAATTATATATAGATGAGGAACATGAAATCTCAATGCTACTTCACCCATCCATTTATGGTTTCCAAAACCACGTTTTATCAACTTTTCCACCACCCATCTGGTGTTCCCCACAAATCGCTTGTTTGATTGTTGTCCAATCACTCTTCAAATATAGGAACACACCTACCTTGCGTACCATGCCCAATGAACAAAATATCTCTATCACCCTGCCTTGCGTACCATGCCCAATGAGCAAAATATCTCCATCAAAACCATACTTAGCAGATAACACTTCTTACATGGCTGTATCTTGCCTTGTGTGTTTCGTCAGCACCATTTAGTTAAGAGAATTCTATACATGAGAGCCAATCTTCTAACATCCAAATCAACATCTTTGATTGGCAGGCACACCTTATCCCAACTAACAATATGGTATTTCCTCTTGCTAGCATCACCTCCCCAAAGGAACGGTTTCATAAAGCGTGCTGAGTTGCTTTCCCCTCATTAAGCGAGAAATAAAGATATTAAATAAAAGAAAAAATTTATATAAGGTTGCGACCTTATAATGTAGAATTATATATGCACCTAAAAAATCTATCAGAAAGGTTGTTTTAATGTTGGAAAACTGGTGTGGTAATTTAGCAAATTGCAAGAGGGTTGATTCTTTGGGAAGTTTGGAAAGAGAGAAATAGAAGAGTGTTTGAACGGATATGTTTGCCTATAGAAAGTATTTTCGAGAAAATTTTTCCATTTGGCTTTCATGTTCAATCACAAAAGAGGGGAAAGATATTCTTAAAGTGGATGGTAGGAGAAATTTAACAAATCTTTTCTATTTAAGATCTTTTAAGTATAGGCCTTAAGGGAGATGGATACCCCCTACAATTGGGGTTTTTTAACTTAATTTTGATGGGAGCTCTTTAGGAAATCTAGGTCCTGCTGGCTTTGGAAGAGTGGTGAGGGATTGGAATGGATCTGTTGTCTTTTATTATGCAGACCCAATGGGAGACGAAACTGCAAATGGTGTAGAATCATTGGCTCTCTTCTATGGTTTAAAATTCTTTGTGGCAAGAAATTTAGGGTCTTATTGTGTGGTGGAACGTGATTCTTTGAATGTCATAAAGTGGTGTAATAAGGAAGAAAAACCACCTTAGGAACTTCGGTCCATCTTGTTACAAATTTGGGATATGTCTAGACGTTTCCTTTTCTCCTTCGTGCATGTCTTCCATGAGGCCAATGTTTTAGCAGACTTCCTTACCAAAGGATGAACTTCTTTAATTGAGACTGTCGTCTCAGATTTTGAATTTTTTTTAATCGTTGATTAATAAAGTTATGAATTTCCATCAAAAAAAAATGTCGGAAAACCCTCTAATATTTTGGAATTAAGGATAAATATAGAAATTTGAAAATTTTGAATTGAATTTCAAACTTTCTTAAAACGTTTTTATCCAAAAACATTCAAAATAGAAAAAAATTGAAAATAAAAGGGATAAAGATGGCAAGTTCTAAAATTTAAAAATTGGATGCACAAAAATAGAACCTTTTTAAAAATGGTTTTCTTTGGAGTAAAAGAATAAATGTATACAACTTTCCAAAAAAATATTGAATTTGGATGCAATAAATGGGAAGTTTTTTTTAACCGTTGTTTTTGAAAAATTCATTAAGACGTGCTTTTAACATTTTCACCAAAATAATGTGTTTTTTTCCCTATATTTTCAAAATAATGCAGTTTAAAATGTATTACAACAAAACGACACTTTGTAGAAAAAGTTACTTTTTTAACGATGACTTGCTAATTACAGTCTAGATAGAGTAGTGGAGGATGTAAGCCTTCCATTAGCTACTTGGAATAAAGAAGTCAAGGTTATATATAAAGAGATTGTCTACAAAGAAATAATTTATTTTTTATACATGGAGATCACAATCATTTTTGTCCCTTAAAATTCAAAATGGGGTGGTTAAAAGAGTGTCATTGAATAGACGACTAATGACATCTGGGTATTGTTATCTCAGGTGTAGCTGAAGATGTATAGAAAATGCTCTTGTAAATCATGTCAATAAGGCTTTCACTTCTGAAGTTAAGTTCGCTTCTAGGATGGATCGCGTACCATTGAAAGCTCTATCGCCTGAAATAGTGCACCAAGTGGAAATTGATGTCATATTGCAGGAACTTAAGAAGGTCATCTTCTCGCTTTTCGGGTCATAAGGCACCTGGACCTGATGGTTTCCCATTATACTTTTTCCAGAAATATTGGAGCATGATTAATACATAATTGTTGCAAATGGTTAGATGCTTTTTGTTAAGAGGGAACTCTTTCAGGCAGTAAATTCCACGGATATCGCTTTAATTTTCAAGAAATCAGCTATAGTTGGTATATCAGATATCAGATATATTAGCCTTCTAACTAGGCTTTACAAAATTGTGGCTAATATTTTAGCTAAAAGGCTAAAGGTGGAGCTGCCAATGATTATATCAGATCCTCAATATGTGTTTATGCAATATCGTTTAATTACAAATAGCGTTTTGGTGGCTCCGAAATGTATCCATTCTAGAATTTTGAGCTAAATGTCAAGGGTGGTCATTAAATTAGATATGGAGAAAGCCTTTGACAAAGTGGAATATGGTGAAGAATGAGTTTTTGAGACAAATGAAGAAATTGGATTTTTGGATGCTTTTTTCAACCCATGTTTTCATTATGATCAATGATAGTTCTAAATGTTTTTTCAAAACCTCAAGGGGTTTACATCAAGGTGATCCTTTGTCGCCTTTTCTATTAACCCTATATGCTGAATACTTTAGCCTTTTGGATCAAAATGTGGAAGTGGGGGTAACTTATCGGGCTTCAAAGTTGCATTGGAGGTCCGTGTGTATCTCACCTCCAATACGCAAAATGACAGACTTATTTTCTATGAGGCTAATATGTTTCATGTTTGTAATATTTGCTAAGTTCCTAAAATATTGTAAAGTAGCTCTGGGGCTTAAAGTTAATTTTGAGAAAACTTCACTGATAGGTAACAACTGAAATGAGTCTCTTGTGAATGACTTAGCGGACTCTATGAGGTGTATGCCAATCTCAAATATCAGATTAACCGTTGCGGTGTGGGATAAAGAGATGCCAAGAGTATTGTTTAAACTGGATCTTGGGAAGCCTAAATATTTGTCTTTCGACATGAGAGTTACTATGTTAAGATCGTGTTTGGCAATTCTCCCTATCTATTAGATGTCTCTAATTCAAATGCCAAGTTCAGTTGCTAAAAAATTAGGAGGATGATATGGAACTTCTTGTGGGGCTCTTATGAGGAAGCTAGAAAGTTCTATATCTTGAGGTGGGATAAGGTTTGTACTCCGAAGAGTGAAGGGATGTATGGGGATTAGAAATATCAGGCTTGTCAATCAGGTCCTTCTTTACAAGTGGTGGTGGCGGACTTTTCATTTTAAAGACCAACTGTGGTTTCAAATTTTATCGGCTAAATATGGTCTTGAGAAACATGTATGTGCTTAGTAAGTGGCGGAGATAATGCGAATAGATCTATTTTTTGGAAGCCTATCTTCCTTTGCAAGCCTTTGCTTGAGCTGTATTTACAGTGGCGTCTAGGTAGTAGCAACCAAGTATCCTTTTGGCATCATAACTCGCTTGGATATGCCACTAAAATTTGTTTAAAGGTGACTCTTCCAAATACTAAGGTGGCTGAGTGATGCAGGGAAAAAAAAAATAAGTATAATAAGAAATAAAACAAAGGGGGAGAGATTATACCCTCTCTCAGGGTCTGCAAGGGAATCCATCCCCAACGAGAGAATATACCCTCTCAGGTTCTGCAAGGAAATCCACTCCAACAATGATCTTTTCACTATGTCAATTTACTTAATTCCCATTCTCGAATCATCCTTTGATCTTTACAAAGAATGGACATTTTCCTTTAAATAAACTTTAGAAGAAAAAAACGCAAAAAGATAATTATTGCTCTATTTTACGCTACGTATTTCCCTAGTTTATCACTCCTCCCTATCCACTCTCTCTCTCATCCCTATTTTCTCTCTCCAAAGTTCCATCCATATTTCTCTATCACCTCTCTCCCACATACCATCTTTATTTCTCAATCTTGACCATGATTGATCTTGTCCATAGCTAAATCCCTTATTTTTCTCCTATCTAAATCCATCTCTATTTAAATCTAATTAATTCCCCTACCAAGATTACTTTTTCAAAATTAGTTCATATCTAATCCTCAAAATTC